CATCCTTCAAGGGATAAGTCTTCCCAGGTACAGCTTCATTTTCCCAACTTTGCTTAAGTACTGAGATGAGTAAGCACTTTTTCTTTTTAGGATGATGAAATACGCAGTAGTGGCATTTGCGGTACTTGCTGCATGTGAAGCATGTATAATGCTACCAATGATGGGTGGAGGAAGCAGTTGTTGGTAAGTTGTAAGATTTTTGAATTATAAATTTTTTACATAAATATCAATTTGAGCCCTCCCCCGGCACCAGCACCGGCGGCTTCTTCATGCTGCCCACCTCCAGCTCCACCACCAGCTCCATGTTGTCCACCTCCAGCACCTCCTCCAGCACCTTGCGGAGGCGGTGGTGGATGCGGAGGAGGAGGTGGAGGAGGCGGATACGCGCTTCCTCCACCTGCTTATCCTCCTCGTAAGTCCCAACCTCACTAAATTAAGATTTTGGAACTCCCTAACGACTCGAATTTTCAGCATCTGGCGGAGGTTATGCTGCTCCTCCAGCAGGAGGTGGCTACGCTACTGCTGGCAAGAAGTAAGCGTCGCGTCGAGACCGCTCCGCGGATTATCTGTACATGAGAAAACGAAAATAAATATTTATTCACTATTTACAAAAGAAACACAGAAGATGTGCAGTTGCGTGCGCTTGAGACCTGTACAAAATCGTTTTATGTTAGGTTAGTTCATAATCCTTACACAAATACTTTGAGCCGCATGAAGTCATGCTTCTCTTATGTAGATAGGGAAAAACCGTTCGACAAAGCAAACTGAGCTCTACGAAGGTATGTGCAAAGGTCTGCACAACCTATGATCTACGCAAAGTTACAGAGAAAGACTAAATGGATCGAAGGTCCGAAAAACAGAGAAAAATCATAATTCCGTCTAGAAAAATCACATGTTTGCTAATAGCTCAAGCATTTATCTCACGTAACACATGTATGAATACATTTACACAATTTTTTTCCGGCTAAAAATCGAGAAATCAAGAACTTTTGTTCTTCTGTCAGAGCGATGCTGTGCTATTCCAGCAATCCAACAAAGGCTCCATTGTCATTCGAATTTGCAGCTCATAAGATCACTGCATCTTCTTTGTGTA